GAGGGCTCTACCCTCCTGACCTAATCACCTCCCCAAAGTCCCACCTGTTGATATTATCACATGGCATTTAGGTTTCAGCAAATGAATTTTGGAGGGATGCAAACATTCAGTCTATAGCACTGTCTTCAGTACTTTTCTTAAGAGCGATTTTGGGGGAGGTGAGAACACTGGTTGCCTGGGCTATCTAAGTTAAACCACTCTTTGGCCAGAATTCTGTCCAGGGTACAACCCTAGCCTGTGCCATGGGATACATGAAGAATCACAAAAAATCTTGTTCTCTGAGGTTGGTTCAGAAGATTTTTAATGATCTTCTGAAGTGATCAATAAGAATCACAGAAACATGGAGAGGAATCTCGCAAACAACCGCCTCTACTGGCATTTCAGGACATCTGTCAGTCTGGAAAATTTCATCCCACTCCGCTTGGTGGGTATCTTGCTTCTCATCCAGGTGAAAGGCCTCCCTCTACCATAGCGTGGGGTTCAGTTGGCCACTGGCTCTGGAGTTCTCCGTCTTCCACCAGCAGCGCAGCGGCAAGGAAAGCTCAGACTAGAACACCAGAGATGTTTCTGGACCTGCGTGACACTGGGGCCTTGTCTATTGGTAGTTTCGGAGGGAAATGCACAGGAGGTAAATAAGACAAAATATTGAAAATGACTCCGTGTGGTTGCTTCAGCTATTTTTCAGTTATAAAAGCCAGGTCTAAGTTCCCGCAATTAAAATTCTACCAGACTGTAGTGCCATATATATGGCTACGCACTTCCAAGTCTGTATCTTAATGGCCTGGCTTTTGTTTGGCTGAGAAAATGAGAAGATGGACAATTCTGCAGGGTTTTAATATAAGTGAAGCTCTGGTGTAAATTCCAAGCTTCCGGGCGCTGGATACAACTAATGGCCACATGTACTGCACACATGGATGTATTGCCCAAAAACTGGAATAGCTCATGAAATGCTCTTCAAACTCCAATTATTCATTTCCTTCTCCTTCTCCCTCTAACAGTGTGATGCTATACATTGCAGGGTTATTATTTCACTCATCACATGAACCTTTGGCCTAGTGACTTATCCCTTGAGGCATGCTATAATCACTGAGAAATGTGTTCCCTGTCACGTCTTATTGCTTAATTATGGCTCTATTTTAGGCTCCTAGAGTCATTTGGCTTGGAAAGACCTCTCTTCTATGTGATCTTGGAACACCCATCCATGTTGAGTTATCCTTGAGTTCACACGAGTCTGTTCCATTTCCACCTTGTTCTGGCTTGGGCAATAATTATTGCTCCTTGAGTCAGCAAGACCTTGAGTTGTTGCAATGAGCTCTTATAACAAGACACTATCAACCCTCTGTCAGAAAGGCATGTATTTACTTTTTCTAATACTTGGGGTTTTTTTGCACCAATAAATCCCGGTGCCCCACCCCCTTGTTTAAATCATGCAAAACCCTCCTCTTTTCTCAATACTCTGGTGGTGACTATAATTTTTTTTAACTCAGAATGTGTACATGTTGTATACCAGAGGCTTTTTGTTGTTTTAGTTGTGCATGTGTTGCTCCTTACTGGTAAAGGCAAACTGAAAGATACGGCAGGCCCTAGATACATTCATAGATTGCAAAAAAAAAAAAAAAAAGTGGACAGAATATTTAAAATTAGAAGTGTTCTAAAAATTTGGGACTTCTGGAGGATACATCCATGTTGTGTTCCAATCGCTCATTTTGCCTCCCATCAAGAAGACATTATGTTCTGTATCAACTTTGGAGTATAAATCTCGGTCCTTCAGGTAGATGATAAGCTTAAGGACAAAAGGAGCAGATCATACACCTCTCACATGGCTCTGTCCATATATGTAGCTACACACAGTGGTTTGATCAATTTCATAAAGAGATAATGTTGCATTTTCAAGACAGCTGTTTGGGATTAGGAGCTTGCAAAAGTAGTTGACATTAAGGAAAAGGCAGATGGAGAATAGTGTCCTGCTTCATCCCTCCAGAGAGTAGTTCAAGTCAGGCCTGGGGTAGATCTATGTTGAGAGGGGGTATAATTACCCTGGTCCAGAGTGGCCCCAGGTCTTGTCTGGCAGACTGAGTTATATCTATCAGGGCCTTTTAAAATGCTGACTTGGCTCCTTAGAAATACAAAACCCAAAACATCATTTATAAAGGTCACTGGGAATGGCCTGGGTCAGAATAACTTGAGTCCGTTTTGTGCCAATGTTTTGGAAGAGGAAGTTGCTGAATACTTAAAGCTTCTTGAGAGTACTATGTTGCTAAATCCAAACAAAGAATGAAAGAGGTTTATAGCTGAGTTTTTACTCTATAATTCAAATGCCAATCTAGCAATAAAATATGTTCTAGAAATTCCAATCAGAGACAGAATTCTATCATCTGACTGGGAAACCAACTGTGCTCTCAGTGAGTACAAAGATTTACCACCTACAAGTGCTGTAATTCAGTAGAATTATGCAGAGGTGAAAAGCGTGAAAAACTCTCACTGTATTTTAAATGCAATGAGAACTATGCTTTAAGAAATTCTCTGAAACCTATAAAAATGGTTCTATTTAAAGAAAGTAGTGGGAATCAACGTATAAGAATTCTTAAATTCAGGAATTCAAGTTTACCCTTCAGAGTATGATTTTTTTTTAAGACAAGTGAAAATTACTACCAATGGTTATCTTTCAAAGAGAACAAGTGAAAGAACACAAAGTAGTTAACTCCTAAATTACACATTATTAAGAGCCCCGACAACTTTTTGCTCCAACTATTTGAGAAGTAGAAGCAAGAGAAGAGGAGTTCAACTCCAGAGAGGGACAGCTCTACAAAGTGCTCCAATAAACTCAGGGCAGTAATTTTGAACCTAAGTTCCTTCACAGAAAGTAACAATTATTTGTGGATTTGTGAATCCATATATCAAAGTCTTTTGAATGTGTTTTATGATTTTAAAAGATATCAGGGCTATCCTGGCAAAGCCAGTGCATATGGTCCTCATACCAACGAGCCCCCACTTCTTCATTTGCTCTTATTCCTCCCACACATGGAATACAGCTGCCTTGTACGAAACTGATGCAATATAACTTTGTCACTTATATCATCACCTGAGCACTCGGATACCACCCTGGGAAAGCCAAGCAAAGCAAGTTTTTCAAAATAATGGTATCAGTGGACCTTTTATAGACATATTTGAAAGCATTTCACAAGCACAAACACAATCCCTGAATGGGTTATAAAACAAAATTTTCAAGTGGAGGGATACGATGAACTTTATGGTCTGATACATGTTAAGAGCTACACCAAGAGTTTTAGAACTGCAACATTACTAGCACTTTAAATTTAAAATAAGCCAGTTGGCCAACATGCCATAAGTGAAATCTCTGGCTCTCAAATTCCTCTTCTCTAGAGATGATAAAATCAGATGATCTCTGAGGTCCCTTCCAATTCATTTATTTCATGGTTCTCCTTTCTCCGTATACTTTATAAATATTTTGACTGAGAATCAGATTGTAGCTCCCTGTATGTAGCGGATCTTACAGAACCTCATTCACTGATGAATTTCCCTTAACAGAAGCTCATACAAAAGCAGATGACTGCATCTACCACATGAAGATACAGGCACATGACTACCACGTAGCACGTAAGAACACGTACTGAAGTTGAGACTTTTTTAACAGTAAAAAGACCACATTATAGATGTATCAGACTCGTTTATTCCTTAGAAAAATAAGAGTGTATTGGACAATGATGCTTTCAGTTTTTATGAATATCATTCATAAATAAAAACACAACTATCTATATAAATGCCTCTTTAGGTAAGTCAGTAATGGAAAGCTATAATTTTAACTCAAATTACATAATATAAAAATACACAGCTCATCCACACTGCTAGAATACCCTCAAACAAACTCATTTAAAAATAGGATGGCCCTAACTTTTTCGGCATTATTATAAATACAATATTACATTTGTCCTTATTCTCTTTTATGATAGTTCTTTTTTTAAGACTTAAAATGTAGTGTTTGTACTTTTTGGAATTTCTGATAAATAGATCACAATTTGATGTGAAATTCACAGATTCTGTGACAAACCAACAGTATTTATTTACACATTCACATATAGCACAACGTGGTGGTCAAGTATTAATGATAGTAATTAACAAACTATTAAAATACTAAGAAAATCACCATTTTAGCAATTTAAATCCTTTATGACAGGATAATTTATACCCAGCAATACATATTTACAAATAACTTTAGAAAAAAAGTGTATCAATTTTTTTGATAATCAAAAGTACTGATAGGTTTTCTGTATTAGTTTTAGCCTCACTGTAGAAATGTTTTCATTGTCTCAATTTAATCAATGTGCTGATTAAAGACAATACATTAATAGTAAAATTATATGTATTAGTGGTACATTTGTGTGTGTGTATAAACCAATCAAAACTCAGGTTGTGAATTAAAGCCATTTAAAAGGCAAATTGAAGATAAAAATAATGTTACTGAAGCTGTCTGTCTTTATGTGTTTTGCAGCTCTAGTAAGATCCAATAGACAATTCAACATGCTACTTTTGTTAGTATTTTTCTCCTGCTCTTTTTCACGTTAATTCTGGTGTCTCTCTACTAACTACATAAAACAGGACTCTCATCAACACCTCTCCTAGAAGTCTAATGAGTTTGATGAGGTGCTGAGTATTTTCCATTTTACTTTTCTATATTTACCTGGTCCAACAACACTCTTAACCGTATTGTTTTTCTTCCATCTTATTTGGGTCATTTGTTTTCACCCAGTCATAAGGGTACACCGAGGGAATTGGCCCTGGATCAAGGTAAACTGTGTGCCTACATATAAAATTATCGTAATTTGAGGGTTTAGAATGTCAAACATGTTATACTAAAACTAACCAGGGATTCAAAAATTAACACCATTCTAAAGGCGCACTTATTCGAGCTCATGGCATAATCTCCAACAGAAGTGTACTCTACTGAATCCTGCATAGCTGAGTGAACAAACAATGGCACTTCATGTGGTCAGAGCAGCTGAAATGGCCTTTACAGGAGTTCTAACTTCTTGATTTTGGTGTGGATTTTGAAGGGGAATGCTGCTGGGATTTTCACACTGTTCATCTACCTTTAGGGAAGCGGCGTGTTCTTGATGATTTTTGTTCTCTTTGGCAAATCCTAATGTCACACTCTCCCCAGAAGGCTGAAATGGCCTCCCCAAATGAACCACCTGTTTCTCTGCTTCGGCTTCTTGTTCATGCAGCAATCTCTCCACCTCCACCTCAAGCTCCAGAGTCTCCTCATCAGCTTGTACATCCAGTTGTTGCATCAACTCTTCCAACTTCTTGGCCTTGCGGAGCTCATTTTGCTGTATGATTGTACAGAGGTGTTCAGTGAGTTGCTCTTTAATTTCAGTCTTGCGCTGGAGATCTAGCTTTGCTGTAACATACTCTGCTTCAGCCTTGTCAAACCGCTTCCTGTAGGGACAGGTACAAAGATTGGTCCATTGGTTTTCCACTTAAGAAGATATTCAAAGGAGGGCCTAAAAACAATAATTAAACTCCAGAATTGGGGGGGGGAAGGAAGTATAATGAAGACATGGATACTAATATTTTATGCACACTTGTCCTACATGTCAGACAAACCAGGCTGTTGCTGCTCGAACTTTTACAACATCCACATTTGGGCCCTTCTAATGCAATGACATTCTTCTGCATTCATTTCCTCTTCCCGAAGCGGGGCTTGAATGAGAGCAGGCTGAGAGGTTAATTCAGTGGTGAGCTAGCTCTGGTCAGGGAGAGCCCTGATTTGCAGTGTTTGTCAATTTCTGTATTATAAATACTACCACCACTATGGCCAATTTCAGGCAGTTAATGTGCCATCACTGACTGCAGAATTGGAAAGAGATACACAAAATCTGTTCTTGTGAACCAGGGCAACCTAGCTCCAGCACACAATTGGTCAAAATGTATGAGAGGTAAAACAACAGGAGAAGGAAAAAGTAGAAAATCTGCATCTCTTGATTAGTGGATTAGAAAAGGAAGAAGAATTTTGGTGGAGAAGGATATGGACAGTGGTTGCAAGGTGAATGTAAATGGTATTAGGTGAGGCAAGAAGCAAGCATCAAGTAGAACAGAAACATTTCAGGGTAGGTTTAGGAAGGGTTTCTCAATCTTGGCACTACTGACAACTTGGACCATATCATTCTCTGTTGTGGGGAGCTGTCCTGTACATTGTAGGATGTGCAGCAGCATCACTTTCTCCCACTCCCGCTGGTAGCACCCAATACTTGTAATAACCAAAAAGGTCTCCAGATGTTATCAAATGTCTCCTCAGGGGCAAAACTGCCCCCAGTTGAGAATCCCTGGGTTAAGTTGTTCTCTCTCCATTCTGCAACAACAGATTACTGTTAGACTTTGATTAAGGCATTTTATCTATTTACATTTATGTAAACTGCAAAGACAGGCAACGCCAATCTTAGAAATAAGGTAATTCTACTGGGGAAGTCACCCTGTGATCTCTCTTTTTTTCTTTTGTATTAGGTTGACACAAAAAGAAAAATTATATGTCGGTTCACTGTCTTTTGCCTTTTCCATAGAATTTATTCCCTTTTTTCTTTTTTCTTTTTTTTTTTTGGCCAGGAAAAGAGACTGGCACACATTTATCAACTAATTGTTCAATTTAATAACCACTACCAGTTGTGAAAGCCATGGTGCCTTACCTGTTATGACCGCCTACATCAACGCAATGTAGTAAGTAATTTCTGGTACTACAGTTACAGCAAAACAGAAAGTTATATCTCCTAACACAAGATTCTCTGTCTTGAAAAAGAATATAGTGAAAAAATGAAAGGCTTTGATTTTAGAAAACCCATGGTTCAAAACCTGCCTTTGCCTTTTACTGTGTATGTACCTGTTTTGGTCAAGGCCTTTTTTGGATGTAAAGAACAGACACCCAGTCAAACTAGTTCAGGTGAAAAGTGGGTTTTATTGTAGGATACAAGAGGCAATTTCACAGGCATGTCATCAGAATCAAAAGCTATTCTCTTTAATGCTTAGAAACCAGTTTCTCTCATTTTGGCTTTCTAATCATACTCACAGCCCAATATGGCCACCAGCTGTGGCTCTACATCAAATCCACTCCACTCAATTTCTCAGTGTTCGAATTCCAGGGGAAGGACCCGGGATGGCTTAGCTTGGCTCAGATCAGTTTGAACAGAGCTTAGTGTCCAGCCATGCCTGAACCATCCCTATTTAGCCTTTGGATTAAATGTTCTGGAGTTGGTAGCCCATCTTTGTTCTAATCAGGTGTGCCCCAGGGTCAGCACCATGAGTATAAAACACAGCTAGGTTCCTAAGGAAGAGGCTGGAGAATATACGTGCAGTGTCTGAAAACTCCAGTATAGTGACCCTTGGTAGTATCTTCATCTGAGTTTTGGTTTATTTGTAAAATGGTGATGATACTATTACTTCATAGGAGTGTTAAGGATTAAACAGTATAAACAGGGCAAGTGTCTAGCCCAGTGCCTGGTAGGCACTCAAGAAACAGAACTTCTCCTTCAGAGCACCAGAATCAAAAAGCATTGCTAGTTTATCACTAAATGAGTACTCTAACTAAAACTAAAATTATGCAAAGTTTAAGGACTCAGTATTTATACTTGAGAACTGTTATTTACATAACGTTCATTTACTGCACTTAATTTTTTTTTTTTTTTACTGTCATCTAGTAACTGTAAGAATGAGAAAGTTAGCTGTTTTTCAATTACCCTCTGTGTTAAAAGAATTGTTCCAAAGGAGCTTTGTTGGACATGTGAATCCCTTATTCCCATACTTTGTAACATATCCTGTTTATGAATGTTCTTGCATCAAGCTTAAGAGCTCTGACAATATTCTCTACAGGTATATGAAAACCTTGCCCCTTCCCTCCAAGTCAAACCTCCTTTCTGTGGTCTGAGGTCCCCTCAGCCAGCCAAAGTCAGTAAAGATTTACTGACGGAGCTCATGAATGCTGAATTGAAATTAAATTTGCAAATAGGTCCCTAGGTTTCCATTGATCTTTCACCCTGGATAAATCACTGAAGATTTTGCATTTTGTTTATTTATTTAAAGTTCTTCTGGCCAGAAACATGCATATATATTCTTGCACAGAGTGATTTATGTTTGAAATATTGATTAATTTCACAAACTGCACTATGAGCTGGAGGGTCAGGTGGATAATACCAAATCAGAATATGATGACATGTTTTGGAACAGAATAATACGAGCATTATATATAACACAGTAAGCTAAATTGAACTGGAAATGTAATTACAGAATTGTTTTGTTATTTTAAAGGGACATCGAGTGATTTAATGAATGTTATTTAAAGGATTCTAGAATCTGTCTCTTGATTTTGGTATCCTGAAATTTTTTAAGAACTCAATAGTTAACCCTTGGCATGCTGTTAGGTTCCATGGGTCCACTTTCAGTTTTTTGGTTCCTTTTCTGAGCAGTTCTAACTATTTGTAAGGATCAACATATCAAGGTTTTTATCCTAAGAAAGGATAGAATAAAACTACATTTTGCAATTACTACATGGGTCCACTGGATCCTTTTATACATCTGAGATACGTTACAGGATTGTTGAGACAGGATATATTGTTCCTATATCTTGAAACATTTTGCCATTTTGTCACTCTGGGAATTATTTCCTTATTACTCATCAATTATTCCCATTTTGCAGGAAAAAAATAAGAAAACAGAGAATGACAGAATGACCTAAAGGACGATGCCACAGTGAAATAAATCATCGTTTAGTTTCCTTATCGTGTTGTTCAAGTCTCACAACATCTTTCAAAAAGATATAAAAAAAGACTAGAAACACCATATCTGTAATCTGTTCTCAGCTTTCACTGAACACAGTTCAGAATTAGTATTTTTCATTTTCTGCCCACAGTGAAAAAGTAGAGAAAGTTGACAGATGAAGACATTTTGCAGCTATCAGACAAATCCTAAGATTTGTGGTAGGCTAAAAACAGGACCACCCATAGATATTCACTTCCTAATCCCCAGAATCTGTGAATATTACCTTATATGGTAAAAGATGTGATTAAGTTTACAATTTTGAAAGGAGTTTATTCTGAATTATTCAGTTGGACCCTAAATATAATCACATGTAACCTTTTAAGAAAGAGGCAGAGGAAGTTTTGAGAGAGAAGAGGAGGAAGCAATGTGACTACAGAGGCACAGAACTTAGTGGTGCAGCCACAAGCCAAGGAGTGCCTACAGCCACCAGAAACTGAAGAGGCAAGGGATGGATTCTTCCCTAGAGTCTGTGAAGGAAGACTGACCCTGCCAACACCTTGATTTCAAACTTCTGGCATCCAGAAATGTAAGAGAATATATTTCTGTTGTTTTAAACCACCCAGTTTGTGGTAACTTGCTATGGCAGCCCTAGGAACCTAATACAAAGGCCAAAAGAGACAGTCTAGGTTCTAGATGGTGACACCAATGACATACATGAAATCTCAAGAGTATGAGACTTCAGAAAAACACATCCTAGATGAACTTGTTCTCAAAATCAGAGTCAATGACTGAAAAATATATTTCTGAAGATAAAAAGGAAATGTTATTCTCAGGAAATTAATAATTCCAACAGAAAGAACTCGATCACAGTATTTTACAAGTACTTGGACCGTCTTGTGTTGTGAAAGGATCTAACTGCATTCTTTCAGCTTTTTATAATGTTGGGAGTCAAGTTACTTGACATAAAGAGGTCTGTTATGCTTACATTCTTATTAAAATTTTTAATAAAGTTTTTTTCCACAATCCCTATTATTTTTACTTCTGTAAATTATACATAAAACATTTATGTATATATGTGTGTACATGTATGCACATGAATGTGTACATGTTAATGGGAATGTCTATTAAACATAAATAGCTAACAGTGATTATAGTTTTTCCTGGTCCATGAAGGGTCAAAGAAATGTTCTACACACAGCCACTCTGTTTCACAAGCTGGTCTATGCAGCATACGGCAGCCTGGGAGTCATAGATGCAAACAGCAATAACTCTCAATTTGGTTCACTCCAAGTGCTGGTCTCCTTAAAGGGGTCTACTCTTAACAATGCTCTATAGAAGCCAATTTTAAAGCAAATTCTGGACTATTCATTATCTAAGAACCTTTTGTGGACATTGCATTGTACTATAAAACTACAATATTATTTTTATTTAAAAAAAAAAATCAAGGAAATCTCCAATAGAAACTGGTTGCCCTGGGGATTAGCTACCAGTATAAATCTAAACCACAATATTCTATCACCAATCTCTAATTTCTCAATAACCACAGATGTAAATTTAGAAAATGTTGTCTTAATCTTATGCATGAACAAGATACAATGCTGGTCCTAGTCACAATCGTCTATGGCTTCTCTTTGACTTATCTCAAGAGCTTAGATTTTTAAAAATAGCCTCACACATACAATATGGATATTCACATACAACTATGTCAATACCAGTACCATGAGAAATTGCCATCTTTAGTTTGTTAAAAGATGTAAAATTTTATGTAAATATAATATAAAAATTTGCTAAAATTTCATTAAACATGTTTATATATTATGGGATGTTTTCTTCTTTAACCAGTAATCCCACTTTCTTTGTGGTTCTCTGAAGGCTATAACTATGACATTTCTTACATTATGTTCAACATACAAATGCATCCTACTCCAGCCTCCTCTAGGACAGAATTAAAACATAATGAGATGATTTTCTGTTGAGGTATCCATTATAATCTGAATTATTCACATAAAGGGCTATAAAGGCAAAAGAATGTTCCTCTGGTAAACTTAAGTTACAGAGAATAAAATATGCTAAAAATCTAGAATTAGTTTTATCTTAATAAAATCTTGGTTACCTCCTTAATGACCTTATAAATAGAAATCTGGAACCTCCAGTTATCAGCTACTGATGGCATTAATTTAAGCAGTTAATTAATAAAAGCAACAATTACAAAAATCACAAGGACACCACAAACCTCTTTCTTAATAAACTGAATTAAAAGCCATCATCAAGCATTTCCGCCTTATTAAATTGTTATATAAACATTCTGATGCTGTGGTTTACCCTGGACTAATGAGGCATTCTGATTGATTTCTAGTGTTACAGAGAGAGATGCAAAACTGAGTCATTAACACGGCATTCCCTTGTGAAAAAAGACAAACTAGGATGATTAAAGCAACGCTAAAAGGACTGAAAACCCTGAAACTGGACCTAATTTTTTGCCCTTTTATCTGCTTGCAAAGTTCATGTAATTCTTTACATGTGTTAGTTCATTTTAAAAATACTCCACGATGAATTTTTCACTAAAAAAATTCCAGTGGTTGAAACCAAGAAAACACATGATAGCAAACTACTATATACAGAATACAATCTAAAAGAAAAAAAAAAAAGAGGAAAAACTTCAAGCTTTCGAGACAGAGTGGTATTTTCTTTAAATACTCATATAAAGCACTGGGTGTTATATGAAAACAATAAATCATGGAACACTACATCAAAAACTAACGATGTATTGTATGGTGACTAACATAACATAATAAAATAAAATTAAAAAAAATACTCATAAGGCTTTTAAAAAAAATAAACTAGGTCTTCTTTCTTTGATGAAAACTGAAATGAGAACTAAGATAATCTCTAAGAACCATCTCAGATAATCAAAATTTCTTAACAGAAAAATTGCAGTCTTGGTGTTAGAATAATAGAATTTGGAGACAAGTCATATAGACACTTAGAGTCCCAAACATTACATAGCTGATGGTTTAGCAAGAAAGACTAAAATGCAAATAAATAATGCAAGAAATGCTCTAACAGGAATATGAACAAGGATGGGGGAAAGTTAAGGAAGACTTCAAAAAGAAGAGACACTTGATTGAGTACAAAATAGGGATAAATAGAGCACCTAACGGTATTGTTATGAGGCTTCAATGACAACACACCTGAAAGCTCCTGGCCCAGGTAGCAATAAACATTAATTTACTCTGACTCCTGGTTCAGAGTTCTCTCAACTCACCGAGCATATGAATACTCAAGGCTGGCCTGATCGATCCGGTTTCTGAGGATTCCAATATCAGCGGACACCATGTCATCTAGAGCCTGTAACTCCTTTTGAATCCGCTTTAGTTTCAAGGTCTCCGCTTGAGTTCTTTTAGATCTAGAAAAATGAGTAGAAAAATAAAGACATTTTAAAATCACGTATCTATATACAATATAAGTGAAAAAAGCAGCCTACTGTATATACAATATGATTTTAATGTATAATTTTTAAAAAAATTAGAAAAAAAACAGCACAAATTGAAATAAAATGCTGGCAACATTTTGATATATCTCTAAGACTGCATTTGTGCTATTTCCCTTATTATTCCAATACACAAAGGAAAAAGTAAGATTTAAAAAAGAAACTAATAGTTCACTTATAGGTCTCTATTCATTCCATGAGGATGTGAACAGGTAATGAAAGAATGTATCTGTAGTCTCTTTACATGGAACACCTAACAAACCTTTCTAAATTTCTAGCCTTCAATTCTTGCTAAGCCCATTTTCATTTGTCTGATACTTAGTGGACAAAAGAACTGATGCCTGCATTTCTTTTTGTTTTGTTAAACACCATTTCTTTGTATTCTTGGTTTTAACCTTTTTAGGACCCATTTCCCCCAAACTTTCATTACTTTGATTCTTGTTTTTTAGGCACTACAGGTCCTCAAAATTCTTTCTGGGGCTCAAAACCAATACTCTTTTTTTTCTTTGTTTAAAAGCACATTCAACCTCAGTCCCCTCACCACCTCCAAATACATGACACACTGAAGAAACAGAATAAACAAATACAAAAGCCAACCTTCAATCTGATTTCACTTACTTTAAAATTTCATACCCACTCTCACAGAATAAACCCCCCCCAGAAAACCACTATATTGCAACTTATATTCTCCTGATTTCTACTCCATTATGCATTTTCCCTTGTTTTCTGCCTACAAAAGTTACCAGTATGATTCTTTTACTTCAAGTACTTTGCTGGTGCATTTATTAATAATCTAATCAGGTTATATTTCCCTACCTTTCCGCCTGTACCAATAATGTCTGTCTTCAACCAAATGCACGTAAAGAACAAGTGCTGAGCCTATAAATCTTTTTGTAAAATCCCCAGTGAACAGCCTCCCCAACCACTTCCAAAATGAAGACTACTGAAGTGATTTCCAAAATCACTATTCACTTTCAATAATCACATATTTTTTCTTGAAATGTAAGTTCAGTAAGTTGCATATTTCCTATGTTTCATGAAAGATCAAGGGGGACCAGCTGGAGAAAAAAAAAAAATCATCATTTTCAAACACATATATCCCTGACAGATAAAATTCTGAATGACTCTCATATACCTACCTGCCTTTCTCTCTAGCCCCGTCCCTTCCCCTCCCCTGACACATACGTCAGCTTCAATAACCAATAGTTTTGCCAGGCTTTTCTGGAGATCTGAAAAGAAAATGCCAAGAATACTCGCTTGCATTTCATTCTCCCTATTCTCAATCATTGCTTCACTGACTAAGCTTGGTTTCCTAAAGCCACAGCACACCGGAAATTACAAACTAAAAGGGCAGGAAGAGTGGGTGAGGGGTGGAAAGTGGCTCAAATGGGAATGTTGCTGTTGGAGGCCAACACAGTGCAGTAAAGGAAAAGCGACTGCCGATAAACTGATACTGGGAGGTGACAGAAATATCGAAATGCACACAACAGGGCAGAGTGCTCACAATGGTGACCTTGAGTCACTGATGAAAGGTTGTATCATGTATCAGTGGGGGAGGTAAATTACTCAAGGAAAACGTCCATAGAAAAACACAATTAAGATTTCTGGGAGTGGAAGTCACTTATGTGGAATAAATCATCTTACTCTTCTACATGTCACATGATTAAAATATCCCCACGTCAAAATTAAAACCTGCACTTGTTGCTAATGCACTTCTACTGACGGCTATTCTCCGCTTCCTTCAGATGTGTAGATGGCTAAAACTGAAAACACTGATGCTGATTCTGAAGCTTTAATTGCACCTGTATTCACAATTTCGGCTTACAAAGTCCTACTTAATAAATAAACATCGGAATTTCAGTATCATTTATAAAGCATAATTTGTTTAGTTAGCTTTAAAAGTAACACTGTAGAGGGGCACCTGGCTGGTTGGTAGAGTATGTGAATCTTGATCTCGGGGTTGCGAGTTTAAGACCCACACTGGGCGTGGAACCTACTTTACAAAAACAAATTAAAAATGAATGTTGTAGAGAAAAACGTCAATTTATCAGAAGAGACAAGGGAAAACAAATATAAAACATGACAGAACTGATCACAGATTACAAACAACTCTCCTAGTTCAGATGCCTCACCTTTCTGCAATAGCTTTAGCCAAAAGAGCTTTCTTACGTTTATTTTTCTCTTCCATTAGCCGTTGTTCTTGCTGAAGGACTTCCCAACGAGATTTTTCTTGCCTAGGGAACAAAAAAAGTATAAGAAGTAGTTTCTGAAACCCCATCCTACACCTTACCAGGCTCAGTCCCCTATGTATAAAATTTAATCAAGCAGATTATGTCTATTTTCTTTCAAAAACCCTCTTAAAAGGAACCCATCTGCAGCTCATTATTTTGTTCTAATAGGAACAAAGATTATGATTTGAAGAAGGCTTACATAAACTGGCCCTTTGAAATCCATTATATGTATATAATCTAGGAACCCACAAACTGGAAGCTAGAGTACTATGGCATTTCTTAGGAGAACAAAGAAAGTTGTATAAGTTAATTATGTATTAGATGCAAAATGGAGAGCAAAATAAATTGGTATGTAGCTAATGTCATGGTCTATCTTTTAGAGCTTTCTATAATGAAAGTCTCTACCACCTAACACCCTCAGCACAATAACCAATGTTTATTTTATTCATTTTTTTTCAATATGCTTTCTTCTTTCCAGATCTCAAACAATTTTAAACAGAGCAAAACACCATGAGCTAAGATTTGAATGCTGGGCTACCGAGAAACTTCAAAGATCTGAAAACAGTTTTCCTTCTGTTCAATTCTGAAAGACGTAGATTAAAATTTCCCATAAATTCGACAACTGGATGTCAACTCAAACAAGGTCATGACAAAGCTATTTATTACTTTTATTGCCATTTCTTATGGCCATTGTATCAAAATTCTCTAGTCCGAGACCTAGTAACCACTTCCAAATTTATCATTTTCTTCCCATTCTCACAGCCTCCACCCTGGTGCTGGCACTGGTCTGCTCTCAGCTTCACTATCGCGGGCATCTTGTCACCCGGTGCTAGAGGTCCAGCTAAGGTGGTGCCCTCCCCTGAATGCGCCGCAACGCCGACACCTGCATTTTCTCTAACCATTGTTTTGACCAGGGTATCTCTCTCTCAGAGGCCTTGGTGATACATGACTGCATCGGGGAGCTCAACAGACAGGAACCCTCAGCTTCCACATCCTTCTTCGCCTCCCTCATTCTCTACTTTCTCTGGCCTCGCTTTTGCCTCTTCCAGAGACATGCGATGCCATCTCTGAGCATCCTGTAGGATACAGCTTTCCTTTCCCCTTCTTATAGGCTCAGAATTTCTCTTTTTCAATGATAGTTCTTGAGACTGCATGTCTTCTATGAAAATTTTCCCAAGTACCTAAAAAAAAAAATTATTTTCCTAACAACATTCAATCTAAATTGTCCAGCTCAATTTAAACCCACCCTCCCCTACTTGTCTCAGGTCTATGCTGGTAAACTACATTTAAAGACATTTAAATATATGCACTTGTTCAATGTTGTTCTCATAATTCATGTGGCTTTCTATCTCTTGTAAAAAAGAAAAAAGAACATAGCAGGAGGCGAAGAATGAAGGGGGGGAAATCAGAGGGGGAGCCGAACTATGAGAGACTATGGACTCTGAAAAACAAACTGAGGGCTCTAGAGGGGAGGGGGGTGGGGGGATGGGTTAGCCTGGTGATGGGTATTAAAGAGGGCACGTTCTGCATGGAGCACTGGGTGTTATGCACAAACAATGAATCATGGAACACTACATCACAAACTAATGATGTAATGTATGGTAATTAACATAACAAAAAATTTAAAAAAATGATTTCTTGGTTGTGAACTCATAGCACGGAATCTGGATCAGAGAAATCCTAAGATACTATGAAAGACTCAGAAAATGGAAAACAGAAACAAATGACATCCTGATAAATCAGGAGGAAACAAAACATGAGTGGGTATTAAAACGTAAGCTCTAGGATAAATATTTTGAGAATTCACAAGTGATAGAATGGCAATTTCCATAAGAATATTTCTAAATTCTGGAGGTTGTTTCTAATACAAGCACATTAAATAAAGAATAAAAAGAAATCTAATGATGGAGCTGAATCGTTTTATTAGTTCTCTCAATTTCCTAAATTTCAACTTTTCTTTGACCATCCCTTTGTATCTCTTCACAAACACCCTTTTCTGGGCCAATGGAGATGCAGTCTGGAAGGTGAAGAATAGGTTCGATATGGGGGTGGAGTGAGTACTACGCATAAGAACTGCTTCTGGTGACGGTAAAGGGCAGAGACTTTGGATCCAGAAAGACCTGTATGTGAACCCCAACTCTGCTATTATTAGCTATGTATTTGCTTTAGGAATAAAGTTATCTTTTCTGAGTCCAAGATATCTCATCTATAGAGTGAAAATCATGAACTGGTACTGTAAGCTGCTGCAAAGACTAAGTGACATAACATGTATAACATACCCAACACTGACTGGTTTACAACACATTTAGGGGGTAGCTAATCTTTAAGAGGTTATCCATTACACTTCTAGGTTAGAATATGAAAGAGAAAATGTTAAAACTATTATTTCTTCAAAGCCTAAAGGAGAAAAAAAATGGAAAATGGAAAAAGTCTCATGGATATATAGACTTACTAACAATTCCACTTTCTTTTTTTCCATTTTGCAATCTGGCTTCGGGGGTAGAATCTCAGCGTTTTTGTGACTATTGTGGGAATTCTCGAGTCCCAGTTCCCTTGGTTGACTTTCAACACCCTGTGGTTTTCCATCACCAACAGGAGAGGTGAGTGTAAGAGGACTAGAAGGAACAGGGAAAGAAGAATGTGGTTTTGAACTATTAAAGCTTGGTTTTGGTGCAGAAAGCAGCTGCTCTGGAGGTACTGAGGTTGATCCATCTTGAAGTCCAAGTTTTTGGCTTTGCTCTTGAAGGGCTTTTTCTCGTTGAAGTTGTTGTCGACTTTTCTTCACAGGAAGACGCCGCTGTGGTTCAAATGGATCTGTGTGAAAAAGAGAATGGAGAAAAATTCCGTTGTGTGAGCAGCAAATAATTAGAATTTCTCTAAGAAAATAAAGCATTAACATTAAGCTTTGATAATAATTCTACAGGGTTTCTCCCCCTCTACCACAAAAGCCCAGGGAAAAACAGCCATTTTTCTGTAGCGTTTTAACAGTTCTCCAATCATACTGTCCCAACTCAAAATTTACCTTAAGAAGTCCATTTGTCTGTTGAGTTAGGCCTCAGAATAAAAAGCAAGGTTTCTTTTTCAACTTGAATTGAGAACTGCCTCAAGAATCAACTAATTTGACCAAACAAGGTAGACAAATGAATTCTTGATAGGTCTTAAATTTGATTTATGATTCTATCTGCTCTCCTGAAATAAAATGGTGGTTGCGTTTACAGATGGGCTGCACCTTTCTTAAATAATAGCAGATCTTAGGCCAATCTGATACACAGGTAGATGTAATGCATAAAGTATAACTGAATGAAATCTCTTACTTCTAAGAATGCTAGTTAACCCTCAATTGTTAGCTTTCATTTTCCAGAGCAGTGCAAGGTTGTGTTCCCCAAAGTCAGTTAGCCATTAATTAATATACGCAAGCTAATTTTAGTAGCAGTCTAAGCAAACCAATAGAGGAAGATAAAACAACTGGGAGAAATTTTTTTAAAAAGACTATAAAATAAATAATACCCCTATTATACTTTTTGGGTTGTCCATGCCAGTGTTAACCTTTCAAGACAGAGTACTGGAGAATTTACTCACATTCACACAATATTTAATAAGATCTGTAAATGGTATTATTTACAAAATACCTGGGAAATGAAATTGTGATTAAGTCCTTGTAAATGAACTTAAATAGGGCTTTTAAAATTCTGCACATTGACTTCTGAAGCAACACAAGCCTGGTATTTAAATCTCCCAAAGGAGAATTAAATGCTCTGGAGTCACAGCTCTAGTACTGCTTTTGTCCAGCTCAATAACCTTAGGCAAGTCAATTAATTATTCCATACTTCAGTTTCTTCCTATGCCAAAGGGGTTGGAAATTTACCTGCTCTACTTAACTCATGGAATTGGTGTAAGGATTAAATGAGATAGGTAAAGAAAATATTTTTAAAAGATAGATGTACCATCAAAAGTAAAATGTTATTATTGTTGACTTTTGCCAGAAACACAAAGTAGCCTCCTCTATTTTAGGACAGGAACTTATTCTTAACCACTGATCTTTATTCACACCATCAGAAAATGTCTGTTTACTTCCCAGTTACACTCACTTAGCTGAATTAATAGTCCCTATGAAATCCAGTCCTGCAGCTTCCAATCTATTTTGCATTTTCACAGAACCTGCATATGAGATTAAAATTGCTACAATAAACAAGTAACAAATAATAAACCAAACAATAAACAAATTCAGTCCACTTAAAAACAGAACATATGATATAAAAACTCCTGGAACTAATAAACCATTATAGTAAGGTTGCAGAATGCAAGATTAATATACAAAAGTCAAATGCTTTCCTATGTACCAACAACGAACAAGTAGAATTTGAAGTTAAAAACGTGATACCATTTGCATTAGCACTAAAAAAAAAAAAAAAGTAATACTTAGGAATAAATCTAAGAAAGTAAGTACAAGATCTGTAAGAAAACTACAAACTCTGATAATGAAATCAAAGAACTAAATGGAAAGATATTCCATATTCATGAATAGACGATTCAATACTGTCAAGATGTCAGTTCACCCCAACTGGATCTATAGATTCACTGCAATCCCAATCAAAATCCCAGACACGATATTGTGTGCATACTGACACAAAGCTTCTCGAGTTTATATGGAGAGGCAAAAGACTCAGAAATAGCTAACATAATATTGTGAAGAACAAAACTGGAGACTGGCATTACTTGACTTCAAAACCCACTTTAAAGCCACAGTAATAAAGACAGTGGGTATTATGAAAGAATAGACAGACCAACGGAACAGAACAGAGAGCAAAGAAATAGACAAAATGACCGATGAAATAGAACAAAGAACCCAGAAACAGGTTCATACAGGTATGAAGCACTGGTATATGACTGAGATAGCATGGCCTATCAAGAGCAAAAGGTGGAATCGCTCAATAAATGGACTTGAGGAAAAAACTACTATATGGAAAAGATAAAATCAGATCCATACCTCACACCATATAAAAACAAACAAAACATTCTCCAAATGGGTTAAGAACTTAATGGCAAATCAACACTTTAAAATTCTTATTAGAAACACATTTCTTTATGCAGTGTTTTGAATCTGTTGTAGCTTATAATAAAAATGATTGTTAAAAACTCTCAAAGAAGAAGATAGGAGGAAGGGTAAAATGAAGCAGGGGGAAATCAGAGGGGGAGACAAACCATGAGAGACTATGGACTCTGAGAAACAAACTAAGGGTTGTAGAGGGGAGAGGGTGGGAAGATGGATTAGCCTGGTGATGGGTATTAAAGAGGGCATGTTCTGCATGGAGCATTGGGTGTTATATGCAAACAATGAATCATGGAACACTATATCAAAAACTAATGATGTAATGTATGGTGATTAACATAACATAATAAAATTAAAAAAGAAGAAACTTCAAAAAACCTCTTAATTGAATATAAGGATTAATATCTTATGGTAGGGTACTACCACCTAATGGTAGGATAGTAAATTCTTAAGACACAAAAATGTTGACAAATTTGACCACCTTAAAATTAAATACTTTGTTCATCAAAAGGTAAAAGTTAAAAGACAAGTTACAAGCTAGGAGAAGATATTCAGAGGAGAAGATACTCATAATATACCTGGCAAAGAACTAGTATCAATAAATAACTCATGAATATTTTCTTTAGACACTGATGGCACTGTAGTGGCACTGTTTTTTTTTATTTCCAGTTTTTTAGTATGAAATAAGTCATACATCAAATACATGTATTTGTTATAGACACATATCCAACCTGTATGGATTATTAAAAATAGTAACATTTTAACAAATAAAACATGACTATAATAGACATAACTGCTATTTAATGATAGACATGTTATCCTCTCTTTTGGAACACATAATTGTATTTATTGCCCTCCAAATCATACTACTTGCTTTTGTTAAATGAAATGTAAGTATGAGCGACACCTATAATTTATTGATGGAAGCATTTAGTTGTCAATGCTCAATTCTCATGCCATGGTGAATTCCTAAATGATAGCACCAAAACACAATATGAAGTAATTATGTGGAAAAGACTGACCTGCCAGTCCATATTAGACATGAAGCTAGAGTGAAAAATAAATCTTTATTATTTTAAACAATTGATATATTAGGGCTATTTGTTACTGTAGCATAACTTGTCTCAACTTGATTTCATTACCAATACTTCTGAAATTCCCTATGTATTTGCCCCTTCCTGGTAATATTCCCTTGGCTTTCTAGTATCCTGTATTTTGATGTCCTATTTTCCCAAAACAATATACCTGCTTTGTATGACTTTGATCTTCTACAAATGTATCAGGTTGTTCTTCTGCAACTTGCTCTTTTCATGCATTATATTTATGAAATTTACACGTTAATGCATGTGGGTATACTTCATATATTCCCATAGCTGTATAGCAATCCAGTGGTTATATTACAATTTATTTATCCACTTTTTTAAATGAACAATTGGTTTGTTCCCACCTTTTTAATATTATAAATAAGAATGCTAAGAACAGGGCACCTGGGTGGCTCAGTGGGTTAAGCATCTGCCTTCAGCTCAGGTTGTGACCCCAGCGTCCTGGGATTGAGCCCTGTGTCAATCCTGCTCTGTGGGGAGTCTGTTTCTCCCTCTCCTTCTCCCTCTGCCTGCCACTCCCCCTGCTTGTGTGCACGCTCTATCTCAAATAAATAAAATCTTTAAAAAAAAAAAAAAAGAATGCTAAGAACATTCTTGATCTTTCCTAATGTGCATATGGTTTTCTCTAGAGTACCGTCATGCTTACTTTTGCTGGCAACCAACTCCATCTTCAAGGATTACTTAATTATATTTTAAGGTTGGAGAATTTTTAAGGAAGGAGCCTTAAAAATTAAAAATCCAGATTTTCTAGTTTTACAAATGAGAAATTCAAGGCAAAAGATTTAGAGGCAGAGCTAGGAGATCTACATGCCAATCGCGGTGTTTGGCTATGAGTGTACAAAGATGCTCCATAGGGTGGACATAGACTAGTGGTTGGTGTCTACACTCTAACATCTCACTATGGAATGACAGGCCTCGAAGCTAACGTCCTTCCAGCCCCACGCTATCCCAAATTGCAGAGATATTTAGAAATGTACTTCTACATAATGAATCTACTGTTATAATTTAGTTGGCAAACTCACCTCTGCTAACACATCATCTCTGTGAAATCTTCCCAAACTCCACCCAACCCCCAGCAGTCAGGTCCCTGCTAGCTCTGTAGTAAGCTCTTGTAAATTTTCTACTATCCATTATATTATAGTTTGTCTCATTAGACTATCAGCTCTTTGAAGGCAAGGATGATGCCTTGTTCATCTTAGTATGTGTAATACAGAAGATGACACCTCTAACTTTGCGTCAGACCAAAAGCAGGAATACTTGTACTCTGTACGTTCAAATATGTGAACGGATGTTCAAAACACAACAAAAGATTTTGAGAACATCAAGCTAAAGTCAATTAACGACACACTGTAGTATAACTTTTATGATACAATTTTTTAAAGGTCTCTGGACCAGTCAAAAATTCCTAAATCTATATAATCTACACTGGCCTTATGTTACTACTTTATTTCCTTTTCCACTTGTCAGCCTTAGATTATTTTTAAATCTATGCTAATAATGCACAGACTTACCTGAGCAACATCCAATTTGATTACAAACTCTAACAAAAAGCATGCCAGGGCTCATTTAATTTTCTCCCACAGTAAAGTATATAAATTATGGTACTCAGGGTGATGTAGTGTCCACTACCAGGATCACCATACAGAATTTCACGAAATTTCAACCACAAAGCATAGTTTATACGAAGAGTTTCTCACCAAATAACAGCAAAAGTAATTCCTTTATTAAAAGAAAACAAAATAGTACGACTTCCAGCGAGGGAAGCACAAACTTTTAGCTTACAACAAAGTCAACAGGTATAATTTCACATGTAGCCTCTCAAAAACTCTTGGTTTTCTCACTCTCAAGAGTTAGAATTACATAAGTCGTCTGGCAACCAGAATTGAATGCAAGACTCCAGATGTATCAGGAAAAGCATCGTCTCTTTGCGTTTATTCAGATCCCTGTGCTTCCTTCTTCCCAACCACTGTCAACTTTGATAAATTCATCACAATTCTAATATGGTTTGTGCCCCTCCTCCTTCTTTTGCCCGACCCCAACTCTCCAGCCATTGATTTATGCAGCAGTCTTCCCATAGGAGACAGCTAGGCTGTAGGCTCACTTCCTCTCCCAAGTCCCATTCCTTTCACAGGAAAAAGTCAACTCCAAATCCCTGAAATGGATTCCTGAACTTTCTTTTGTAAAAGAAAATCCCACTCCCCTGGACTCGCCCCTCCCTCCCTGGCTCCCAGTACATTCACCTCTGGGGCCCCTCAATCCCCTCTTCCTATTATAGCTCCTTCCCCAAACACCAACACATTACCCTCTTTCCCGCCCCCTTCCCCTTCAAAAGCTGCAGCCCCGCCCCTTCCCCCAACAGACCCAAAGATTAAATCTCTGCCGCCACGTCCCGTTACCTTTAGCCTGCTTTAGTCGCCTCAGCTCCTCCTCAGAGAAGCCGGCCCAGCCCCGCGCCATCCGCCTCGGCTGCCAGCACCCCCAGAACGCCCGAACCTCAGAGCCTCGACTGCCAACACGAATACCCAAGCACATCCGGGTTCTTTCCCGGCCGCGGCCGACCAACCAATGAACGCTTCGAGTTCTGGCTACAAGGTCCCCTCTCGCTTGCAGCAGGGCCCAGCTCCCTTCGAGTTGCCTCCGGCGGTGCCGGACAAACTGCCTGTGGAAATCTCGGCCGCGGGGACTTTTATGTCTTTGACCTAAGTCTGATCTCTTTCCCTGTCTCTTATTCTCGTCGGGTTAATAGCTTAACGAGATAAGGGGAGAAGAGGCGATGGGGACGAGGGTGGAGATAAACAGGCAGTTAGGAAGTGGCTACAAGTCTGTGGCGGAAAAGAGCTGTCGCAACTGTCTCCTGGAGCCTCTGGGAAGTCACTGGGGCGGAGCCCTCTACTTGCTGGGTCTGGAAAGGTGGCTTTCGGGTTCTGTGGAGATCTTTTCTAAAACTGCCCCGGGATTATCCTGCAAATTGACGAAAGAGAATGTTCAGTTAGGCCTTTAGTTGTGAAGAAACATTTCAGAGGGCCGGAGTATAATAATGGGAAGGGAACAGACACGTGTAACAGGGTTTCTCTGCACAGCTAGGTCTCCCAAATATCCCGATTGTGGGTTGTTTCCATGTTTTGTGAATGATTCTCGCGTATCTGTAACTTTTCTCCTAATGGATACCTGAATCTCTCTACTTTAAAATGATCTCTCATCAGTTTTTCCTTCAGAGAAGACAGTGTAAAACAATGTCGGCACTGAGGTGTGGGGCAACACTAGGCTTTTCTGGAGTTCTAATTTCATTGTTTGGTTCGATTTTGAACACAAGTCTGTGCTTCCATTTTCTCATTTCAAGAAAGATATCAAAGATTAAGATGCAGGATACATATAGAGCAAGACGATTTAAAAGAGACCAGTTACTCTGTCTTTCATGTTATATTGCATTAAAAAAAATTATTTTGGCTTATATTTCAAAATCCCAAGTGTGACTTTTGGCTTTAGCGTGCCAATATTTTAAACAAATTAAAATGAAGTAGAATGAAAAAGTGCCACACCAAGAAAAGAGTTGAAATGAATATTTCAGGTTTGGATAGGTGACCAGAAGGTGAAGGATGTTTGGAATTCCTCTTTAACCTTTGAACTTTTAAACTTAAAAGTGATTTCTGAAATTTAAGCGTTCACAAACGGTTCATTTTTAAGCGTGGACTCATTTTCCCTAACATTTGAAAATTAAAGTGCAATTCAAAAGGATTGGTGAGAGATCCTTCAGGTTGGGGACATGGACTAAATATTTTAAAGATACGGATTATCTACCAGGTGGGGATCAGTACCAATGGTAATTAATTCGGTTTCCCATTTACAAGCATAGCCATGTAGTAAAAATGAAGCACCCTGTATGCCCATGTTAAATTTTATACGTAAACTTTCTTTTTAGCTCTGGGTGAATTTCAAGAATTATCAATAATTTTAATAGAGATGGAAATTATGGTATTTTAAAAGGTTTTGTATCAGCCTTGAATGAGAACCAAAACGAGATTATAGTAAAAAAACAACATCTGTATAAAATTACAATTTCCAGTTTGCAAGGTTCTAACTCTTATTGTTTCTGTTGGCTTCCCCTCATGGTGACTGGTTTCTTCAAATGAGGTAAGATTTTATTGGGAGCTTAGCTTCAAAGAAGTTTTTTGCTTTGTGAAAGTTCTCTGTATCTTGGGTTGAGAGACTGTCTTTGCAGATTGGTTTTGCTGGGTGCTAGAACTTTCAGTTGCTTTAAATCAAATTAAAAGTAATTTTTTCAACTTGTGATATAAATTTGGATCTCTCCCCCACATATGATCAGGGCTCAGGTTATCAGTAGGCTGAGTTTTTTCTAATCCTCTGTTATCACATGGACCATCCTTTCCAGGCTGTGAACTTTATTTCAGCGATCTTGTCTTCAAATGTGTACAGGAATCCCAACCTCCAGCACTTATATTCAGGTAGAGTCCCCCTTGGGTTTGCTTTCTACATCTCTTTTTGCTTTCTTTTATGTTCTAGGACATATTTTTTTCCTAAAGATTTTTATTTATTTATTTGGGGGAGAGAGAGTGGGAGAGCATGAGTGGGGGGAGGGGCAGAGGGAGAGAAGCAGACTCCCTGCTTAATGTGGAAACTGACAACAGGGCTCAGTCTCAAACCCTGACTGAGATCATGACCTGAGCCGAAATCAAGAGTTGGAGGTTCAACTGACTGAGCCACCTAGATGCCCCTATATTTTTTCTTTTAAATAAAAACATGTTATATGTTATTCAGCAGTTTTATGTGTTTATGGCAAAAGGGAATCATCTGTGATAACTTAGATCATTATATTCCCTCCGATTGATTCTCTACCAGAACAACTAGAGATGATCTTTTAAAAAAATGAAAATCTAATGTGTATAGTCTGGTTAAAACTGTAAAATGACTTCCTGTTGCATTTTGAATTAAATATCAGTTCCTGTGTGAGCCTGTGTGATCTCACCCCTTTGTACCTATCTTAAGTGATCATTAGGCTTATCTTTCCCTTTACTCAGTAGTCCCTACACTCTAGTCAAATGGACTTTCTTTGGAGGTTTGGAACATGTCAGGCTCTCCCCCTACCTCCTACTGCCCTACACAGGACTTTCCCAAATGATGTTCTATTTGGCCATAATAATCTTTCCCTTATCAGTCTGGTTCTTTCTGCTTCAGGTTTTGACTTGAATGTCCACTTAGACTTTCAATAACCCCCTTATCCCAGTAGCACCCCTCCCACCCACCCTCATTTCTGTGTTCTTTATTACTTTAATAGCACTAATTACGACTCTTAAGTAATTTGCATTTGTTTGCTTGCTTGTTATTTTCTATTTCCCTCTATTAGGTAACAGCTTCATAAGATCAGGGGATGTATCTTTTATTCAACCAGAGCATAACAAAATGTTTGATGCCTACTGAGCCTTCAAATAAATGTTGAAAGACTAAACCTTTCCAAGTTAAGTATTGAGATGAAACATTTCCACATTTCATGTATTCTGGAGATTCCTTTTTAGTATGAATTTCTGTGATGGTGAATAACATTAACCCCATTTATTACTTATTGCTAGTTGCAGCCATGGACTCATTGGTTAGTAAATAAAAAACTAAAAATAGGTTGAGAAGAGAAGAATCCCAAGATACTATTTTATTTTTTATAAAGCCTTAAAATAGTATTTCAGCAATATTCTGCAGTTTTCATTATATGTATTTTGCACATCTTCTGTCAGATTTATCCAAATAGTTAATAGCATGACCCATTGTAAATAGCACTTTTAATTCAATATTCAATTTTTTGTGTGTGTATCTACTATATAGAAATAAAATTGATTTATGTTTGTTGAGCAACCATGATAAATACACTTATTAGTTATAGCAGCATTTTTAAGGTAAATTTCATTGGATTGTCTACATGGATGATCATGTCTGCAAATCACAGTTTTATTTCTTTCTTTCAAATCTGCATGCCATTTATTTATTTTTTTTGCCTTATTGCACTAGCCAAGACCCACCGGTATAATGTTGAATAGAAGTGAGATTGAATACCCTGTCTTGTTTCTGATCTTAGGGGAAAAGCATAAAAGTCTTTTACCATTAAATATGGTGTTAGCTTTAGTTTTTTTGGTAGATGCCTTTTATCATGCTGTTGAAATTCCCAGTTTGCTGAGAGCTTTTATCAGAAATGGATAATGGATTTTCTTGCATCCTTTTTCTGGGTCTATTGAGGTGATAATAGGATTTTTCTTTTTTTTTTTTAAGATTTTATTTATTTATCTGACAGAGTGACAGTGAGAGAGAGAATACAAGCAAGGCGAGTGTGAGAGGGAGGGAGAAGCAGGCTTCCCCGCTGAGCAGGAAGCCCGATGTGGGGGCTTTATCCCAGGACGCTGGGATCACGACCTGAGCCAAAGGCAGATGCTTAATGACTGAGCCACCCAGGTGCCACAGATTGTTAATATGGTGAGTTGAATTGATTGGCCAGTGTTACACAAATCTTGCATCCTGGGATCAACTTTACTTAGACATAATATATTATGCTTTTTTTTTATATATATTCTTGGACTTGATTGGCTAAAATTTTGTTTAGAATTTTTGCATGTGTTCATGAGGGATACTAATGTATGTAATTGTTTTGTGTGGTGTCTGCCTTGTTTTGGGATCAGGTTAATACTGATCTCACCAAATGAGAAACATTTTTTTTCTTTTCAATTTTCTGGAAGACTCATGTAGCTTTAGTATTAATTCTTCCTTATATACTTGGTAGAATTTACCAATGAATCCATCTGGAGTTTTCTTTGTGGGAAACTTTTTAACCACAAATTGAGTTTCTTTGATATAGGGCTGTTTAGATTATTTATTTTTGAGTGACTTTTCATAGTTTTTCTTTTAAGATATTTGTTTCATCTAAGTTGTTGACTGATTTGGCATAAAGTTGTTCAGAATATTTTCTTATTGTACAGTAAAGGGTTCACTTAGAGGGTTTGTGATGGTTAAACCCGGCACATCCCAAAGAAAGAACTAGCCATTGACTTGCTCCTGGGAGAAAACCTCTAAACCCTTGGAATATCCTGTGTAATAAAATTGTCTTTATATACCTAGGGCCTTTGTGTTCATCAGTTGGCTTATGCTAACAAAATGATTTATGGTGAATGACTGTTTTTGTTTACCTGGATTCCTAGGCCATGCTTTATCAGTTTGGTCTCTGGAGTGGCTGGAGACTGGGTAGCTAAAGTCAGTCATATGGGTGTTCCATGCCTGCATGACTGTCAATAAGAACCCTAGACAACAAGGTTTAGATGAGCTTCCCTAGTTGGTGATACTTCATATGTGTTGTCACACACTGTTGTTGGGAGAATTAAGTGCAGTCCATACAAGTTACACTGGGAAAGGACGACTAGAAATTTATATCTGATTTTTTCTAGGCTCCTCTCTAGGTGAATTTTGCCTTTGCTGATTTTTTAAGAAGTATTTTATTTGTTAGAGAGAGAGAGAGAGCACATGAGCCAGGCGGAGGGGCA